TCAGTTTGAGGACTCTAATGGGTACACACGTATTTAGGCATTTTAAATTAACTTCTTGTGTATAACAGCGATTAAACTTTTCTGGTTTTGTGTATTCTCTTATTTGTAAATATATTCACTTAAAATCCTTGACAAAACCAGATGTTGTTCAGTATTTTAAATCTGAAAAATCAGAGAGTTTTAGTCTTAAATGAGCATGAAATGATTAGTTTTTCTTTTTGCAGCTTCCTCCTCGTCTCTATTTCTAGTCACAGTGGTTGCAAGAATCGAGAATGAGTGACCCTTTTCAATTTCCATCCATTTCTCATTTCTAAATTCTCCTCCATTCTTGTTTTAATTTTGTAATGCATATCCACTTTGCAATATAATGTGATACAAAGGTTCTTGAAGAGGCACTGAGTGAGAGCAATGTAGATGCAACAGTTTAGTGTAGTCTAGTCTAGTCAGCCACGCTAAGAGACAGGGTTAATTAGCTATTATGCTCGTATCAGTACAGCAACACCATGCTAGTCATACTTATGCACTGGATCTAGTTCTACAAAAAAGAATATATATATACACACACACACACATATATATGAATATATATGTACACACATATTCATAACTGAAAAATAATATATATATACAAGTCATGCCATTTGATAATGAAAATAAAATGAAGCACTTGAAGAGGCAGCGGAAGCCTGATGAAGAGGAAGCTAGCTAGGGATCTAATTTTTCTCTTCAACTACCTAAGGAATAACTATAGAGAATATGCAGCCAGACTTTTCTCAGAAATGCAGATCTAAAGAAAAAGAAGCAATAGTCACAAGTTGCCATACAAAATTTCTCACACAGAATAAGGAAAAATATTCAAGACAGTAATTCGGCACTGGAACAGGTGCCCAGAGAGGTGTTGGAATTTCCATCCTCAGATCCAAAACTGAGCTGGCTGAGGCTCTGTACAACTTGATCGAAATATGAAGTTAGTCCTGCTCAAAGGCTTTGGACCACTGGAACTCCAGAGGTACCATCCATCCAACCAAGCAACCTTAATTTCTCTATGATTTTAAGATACTTATAATGTTTCTGTATTAAACCAGTGTGAAAACAGCCAAAGTAACATTGTATTTTTTCAACTTTTCATACATAGTTTTAATTGCTTCCCTTTTAACATTTTTATAATGATTACAGAATTTCACAAGACAGGGTCTGCCATAAGCTGAAGTTTTGATGAAGTTCCACTACTTAGATGTGGAGAAGTTGGGGTAACATACTTATGCAAGATACAGACCTGTCAACAATTAGGTTAAGAGGTTCCCAATTTGAAATCATGTCTCCTGGAGTACTGAAATCCAATTGATTATTATAGGTAGCTGATCCATGAAGTCTTGCTTCTATTTTAGATGAAATTATTTCCTTTCAGTTATGTATATGTGTGTGTAAACAACTCTATATATACTCATACACAGTTATATTAGTAAAAAATTAAAACTCAACCCAGGACAATACAGTACTAAAAAAATATTAGTATGAAAATAGAAACTAATATTTCTACTTGTGGCCACGAAGAAAGGTGAAAGCAAAAGGTATGTGGATTTTCAATGGGATCACAATGTTATGGTCTCATAGGAAACTTAGTTACGAGCAATAAATGTGTGACTTTTGAAAGTATTCAGAGCAGACTTAATTTGGTTTCCATATTAACCATTCAGTAAATATCTTTGCTCTTTCAGTTGTTAAGGTCAAGAATACTAAAAAGTTATAATGAACATTTGAGTAAATGATACAAGCAATCTAATATTGCTTTCTTTTCACTAATGAAGCAGCATTTTAACATTTTACAAACTGTATTGCAAAAAGGACCCATGAGTATGACGATGGAAACAATCTACAGTGCAAGTAATTTTGAATAATTAAGATTGTTGAAGTTTGAAGAGAGAGAATAAAGGGTTCATGATAAAACATACAATGGTAAAGTGGCTTTTTTTTTCTAAAAATCTTATGATTATGCATTTCAAACATTCTGTGCTTATTCCAGAAGAATACCAATCAAGTAACAATGTCCGGTATAGAAAGGAAATCATGTTTGGTCATAGGAAAAGGAAAAAGTAAAAATCATTGTCCTAAACAAGGAATAAGATACCTTACAATCTTAAAATATTAATGCAAAGCAAAAACTGTTCTTTCCCATAAACATAAAGATTAACTGGAAAGCTAATGAATAAAAATGATTAAATGCACCTGTTTATGCTACTATGCAATATTTGAAAACCTCGGAAATACACTGACTATGAAGACCTGGAATGAATACCTGAGCTTACAGAAAACATTTTTTTTCCCTGTGAATTCAAAGTGGAACCAGATTTCACTCTGAAATTTTCATCTCACTTTTTAATATTGCATTCTTTTGCACTTCTTTCCCCTTAAAAGCCTATATTAAATGCATATTTTTGTTTATCATTCTTTTTAATGTAAAAATGCTCATGATCACAAGGTTTGTTCTGGAATATGTGTTAAAAACGTGTTGGATTAAGGTTCACCAAAAACTTTGTTGGAATTTTTGAGCCAAACTTTAGCCTAATCCCTTTAGACTAAAATTAGTCTGTCCCTTTAAAGTCTAATCCAAAAGACTTCAAAATAGCAAATTGTATGGAATCCAATCTGTTTATCTGACAAGGATGAAAGGGTTTGTGCTTCATCTAGATTTGAACTTTTGGTTCCACAGTGTCTAGGTATTTCAAACCAGAGGTTTAGATCATTAAGAAATGCCACTCATGATAACTCAATTTTTCCTATGTTAATATCTATGATAGAAAGAAAAATGAATGCCTTGATAAACTTTTAAAAAATATTTTTAAGTAGTAAATGACAATTATTATGAAAAGTGTCTATCAAAATTGCCATTTCTGTCACAAGAGGTGTTATTTATCTTTTTTTATATCATTCTGTACAAATCTCGGAAAAAAAGTCAGTCACTAACAGGAATATTAGTTCATTCCCTAATGGGAAACAAGAAAACCCTATTTCATTTATTACCTTTGTCTCATCCCACTTCCAAGGTAATCTGTTTAAGACTACTTTAGCCAACCAAACTGTGAAATAAATCCAATGTACCCTATAACACAGGCAGCACCAGTTAATATTGTTCAAATTATTTACATCTGAAGGGCCGCGCCTGTCTGGATAGCTGGGCCCGACGCTTCTCTGGACTTGGTTTCTGCTACTCACATCTGTTTCAGCTTTAGACTTTCACTGGTATTCTGCCAGCAGCCACAACTTTTTAATGGCTACAATAAACTACAGAGACTCATCAAATCTTTGTTGTATGTGTTAAAATTATAACCTCTTCAATTAAAATTTTGATTTGAAAATAAACTACAGCATTATCTGAAGGAAAAAATTTGAAAGGGAATTTTTGAGAGAGATATAATGTTTTTATATGAGTGATTTTTTCTTTGTTTAAATATAAGAGAAACTAATTACAGGAATGTTTGTTAGAATTATGCTGCATATTTCTGAGTGATAAAATACCAACATCTGAAAACATTCCCATAACGTTTTTGTTTCAAATCTTTGCTGTCATTAACTTTATATGTTAATTGGTTTGGCTGGGTTTCAAATATATCTTTGCAAAGAGGAATTATGAAAACAACCTCAACATAACAATTTTTCTAGATTTTCTATAAATGCCTAAGAAAATTTGTTTTAGAAAATAGAAATCAGTGATTACAAGAAAGCTGCAGTTTTTATTTTAAGAGTCAGTTAAAGTGCTTAGCCTTCCTACATGCTGTCTGTGTCTTTGCAATGTAAAACAAATATGATGTGAATGTCACAGCCTCAATGCAGATCCTGCAAGACTAAGATGCATGACAGCAAGACTACATGCTGAAAAAGTACAAGATCAAACACAGATCATGTTTCTGCACAAACTAGCCCCAAAGAGGGCAGGCCAAAGGGTTTACAGGGCCAAGTGATGAGAGGAGATAGAGCACTCACTTAGGCCCAGGTCGAACAAACAACAACTGATACTTTCCTACCACTGTTAACCTTTGGAACTGTCCTAAAGATGGCAGTGACCTAATCCAGCAATTTCTAACTGTAAGGATAAATTATGCTCTAATGGTTTTCACTGCCTTATATTAAAAAAAAAATTTAAACAATCACGTTGTTCAACTCTGATTCTAAAAGGACCCTTCCATTTTGATGCAGAGATATAAATGTAAATGGAGAAGTTTTTATAGACTTTTCTGCAGATGTTCTCCCTAAACTTGATTTTCTACACAAAACCGCTTCACTAATAGTACCAACTTTTCCTTAACAAAAAGACAGGCTTAATATATTCAGTCATAATTTGCTGGATTTATTTTAGAAAGTCGTATGAAGCACAAAATAAAAATGAAACTGCTTGGAACTCTTAGAGAGAAACCCTTCCTACTTTATTTCCACTCAGTACCTTGATTGATAGATGAGCTGGGTTTCTGAGCCCCTCCTTATAATAAACATTTTTAGATGTTTATTTTATGTCCCAGGGTGAAAATATTTTGAACTGGAGCTTTCCATTTTCATTTCCATTTGTTGTGCTTTGGCAAGCTGTGTTTTATTTCTATATTAATAGTATTCAACTCTTTCTTGTAGCTGTTAAGTTGTTGTTATACAAGTACTGAAGAAAGTATTTATGTTATGGAACTAACAGATATCTACAGTTAAACACACAGTTCTGGAGAAGCCAGAGGAAAATTCACACATAACTAAAGAATATTTCAGAAAGATTTATCTATGGGCCTTTCAATTGTAAAAGGGAAGATTACTTTTCAGTATCTTTACTTTCATTTTTATTAAGTCATGAGTTAGAATTTTTCTTCCTTTCTAATTTACATGAGTAATTTGTGCCACAGTGTAAAAACTCTAAATGAATCAACACTATAAACCTAATTAGCAATAAGAAAACCTCATAAAGGTCACATTTTAAATGGCACTTTGTTGTTAGCAGAACAAATGTGAAAGTTCCCAGTTACCTTCTAGATCTCTCTTCAGTTTCCTTAAATCTTTTATTAGGTCTTCAAACTTAACTTGGGAGGCCTGGAAAAAATCCTGTGGTTCTGGTAAAGGAAAAATACTCTTGTCTGTTCCTGCTTCCTAAACAAACAAACAAACAGACCACTATGAAAACTGAATGCATTTACAGTGAAATAAATTACTTTTTTTGAAATGACATCTATGAAACACTATAATAAAACTGCAAGAATAACATATTTTAAATCATTCTTGCTAAAACAACTTATATATCATTCAAGATGAAATCCTGACCTCTCTGATTGTTGAAACTTCCTTTTAGATGTTGTAAAGCAAACTGCTCAGTTTCAACTATGAAAAAACACTGCGCTCACATTTCAGTTCATTTGATATCAATAAAGGTTTAGATAAGGAATCAAAAGTTTCTTAAAAACAGATAACATGAATTCCCATTTTAATGCAGCAAGTAATCTTATGCCAAAAGTTTGTGGCTTCACTCTCTCTCTCAATTCATTAAACAACACCTACTTTATAAGCAAAAATTGAAAACAATATTTATATTTTGCCTGAAGTATTTTATACAGATAGAAATACACAGTTGAAGGTTTATGTGGCTGAATAAATCACATGGGTTAATGTCTGTATGGAACTCCTAAGTATATACCTTATTTTTAGTACAATAAGAAAAAAAATCATAAATAAAACAAAAGAAAATTAAAAAGTCCTTACAAGGTTCAAAGCAGTATTTCTGGTGGAAATTTAATATAAATGGTATTAATATGACATTGCTGTGTATAAGCATATACTAGCAAGTTTAAAATATTATCTGTCACAGATTTCATTCTGTAACAAAGGAAAACTCATAGGTTGGAGAACTAATTGTTTTGTGAACAGGGAAAATATAATTTTAATATAATAAATATTTGAACATTTTTGGGGAAAATATACAGTGGATGACATTTACACTGTGTCCATTTCCTCCCAAGGAAGATAAAACTGTTCTTTTTTCAAAATTCCCTGTAGTAAAATTACAGCATAGTAGAAACTTTGCAGAAATATTAAAATAAATGAATTAGTAAATGTCGGCTTCAGCATTATTAAAAAATGAGAAAACAATACATAGATGAATACCCTGAGAACTGAGAAACATTACAGGTCAGACAGAGTTGTTTTTGTTATGAGGCTTTTAAGAGATGGGTACTTAGGTTAAAGTGATGACATTTTATTTCCCTGCTCAAAAAAAAAAAAGAAACAACCCAAAAAAACTAAGAAAAAAAAAAAAGAAGAAGAAGAAAAAAAAGGAAATAAAACAAGTACAGATCTACATATCTGTTATTTTTTAATTTCCTTTGCAGTTCAGGCCCAAAAACTGTTCCACAGGCTCCTGACATACAGACCCTCCAGTGTTAGAGATCAAAGAAACAGAGTGGTTTGAGTTGGAAGGGGACCTTTAAAGATCAGCTAGTCCTGCCCCCCTGCCATGGACAGGGAAATGTCTTCACTTACTTTAGTCTTCATTTACTTTAGTCTTACTCCTGGTAAAAATACTCATGACTACTAAATAATCAATTCAACATCCTTATGTAAAAATTAAAAAAAAAAAAAAAAAGAAAAAAAGAATATTGTATTCAACCAGACATAGGGCTGTGAAAAATTACACTAGTCTTAGATTCAAAGATTAGGTAAAGATACCTTCTTAATCTCAAAAATGATCAATTACATACTTAAAATCAATTAATAGTGACATTTTCATTTAAAAGACAACAGTTCAAACTTTCCACTCAAAAACCTTGTGCACTTCTATCAAAAAGCCTGATAAATGTAACTCGCTCACAGCAGCAGCCGCACCTCTTCCCACATTTTCAACCCCTAACGCCTCATCAGCTGACTCACCTATCTTAAGATATCAACCTGTCCTTGCTTTCTGTCATGAGAGAGAAATCCTGCTTCTGTCTTCCATTATTACCACATCAGAACAAGATTTACAACATTACAGTAACCAGGATGTAAGAAGACAGAACTGGAATGACTACTTGTCTGCAACAGTCACAGGCAATTGCCTGCAGTGGTGAGTTCAACAGTTAATGTAAAATTTTTCAAAACCTTATCATAAAACCTATAGCAAATTTCAGACCTATTGAGGTCCACAATTATTATAAGAAAGCAAAAGAAATTGATTTTATTTTTCCATCAGAGCTACTGTGTTCAGATTTTTAAAAAAGCTAATACAAACCCTTTTACAATCTCTTAAAGAAGCCCACTTTTGGAAAGGCTGATACAGCAAATGAATCTTTTACCTTATCACAATGGCGTAGGTAATATATGACGATATAATCCACAAGATTAATACCATTATCCTAGGAAAAAAATGAATATATTATTAAAAACGTGTATAATTAACAATGTTTCAAAGTGAGTAAAAATTTACTCTATTTCAAAATAAATATATCATTATTTTATATTGCTGAGATTAATAGGACTCACAATATCTTCAGCCCTAGCATTACTTACCAAAAAATCAATCTTTTATAACATAGGCTTGATCATACCACCAGACGATCTAGGGCTTCTTTTGTTCCTAAATACTGGATAAGAAACCATGCACTAGGAGAAGCTGTCGCCATATTTTTTTTTTAATAATACAAGGCATTACTGAATAATAATATTAACTTGAATAATAATACTTATTAATATTATTGAATATATATTAACCAAATATTACAGTCACCTCAGATGCATTAAGGCGAACTGAATTTCTTGATTCCTCTAGCCTCAATTGATCTATAATGAAGATCTGAAAGAGGCATAGATATTTTTCATATTTTACTCCAAACATAAAACCAGACAATGTATACTTAACAAGTGTATTTCATGCCTTGTTGCCTTATAAATATGAATTTTAATAATCACTTTGTGGAATCACCATTTCCATGGTCCTGTATACAACTGTACACAATGTAATTTTATTTTGATACATGTCATTGGATCAGCAAAGGCCAGATGAACTAATGGAAAAGTGTAAAACTGAGACTTACATGTTACAGGGCACTGTTCAACAACATAAAGCAATGGTAATATAGGGAATTATATCTGAAAAGTCTTTTCCTTCTTTTGGATCTGTCTTCATATTGTATACTGACAGGTATCAGGACATCAGTATGTGAACAATGTCTGATGCCTGTACAGAGCTGTCTTGCCTATATTAGAGCCTGCAGCACATTATATTTTACTAATATCACACACCAGCAAAATTCTTAGCTAAGCAAGTCATTGCTGTCACGCAAAGACACTCGGCTTGTATAACAGTTTTAGAAGACACTGCTGGCAGTCCATGTGACGAAAAGGAACTGAGGTGACTCATGAACATCTGATTGCCCTTTTAGAGTAAAACACACCTGTTACTCTATTTTCTATACACTAAACTATCAAACCTACTACTTGGGTTTCAAGAGTATTTGCAGACAACAAAACACGGCAATTTTGAAGTGGTGAGTCACATTTAAAAAAAAAAATCTCCATATTAAGTAATTCTCAAGGTTCACGTGACAACAAATGACTACTATGTGAAATAGATATTTAACATCAACTCTTTACCTTAGCTCCTGGAATTCACCTTACCTAGACATAATACTGCTTGCTGTTAATTCCCAAAAAGGGACTAATGGGACACAGGAAAGATACCATAGTGTTCAAATATACAAGATCCTGTATTCTTCTTCCTTGCAAATATGGTCTATCAAGTATCTCTGAGGTTTCACGTCTGCCTGTAGCAGCTGGTCCCTTTGAGTTTTTACGCATTTTGGAGACTAGTCTAAACTAATAATATATTTATTTTGACTACCAGGAAACTGTAAATACTGTGACTTTTCAGCTTGTTTTGCTAAAGAACAAGTCTTGTGCAATTATACTGTACATCTGTCACTCCTTTTCATAACTCATAATTTTGGAACGTGCTGGCTAAATTCAGCCAAATTGGAAAGTCCCAGAGAGAATTAAATTCTTACAAGTTTATGGTTAGATAGAAGAGCAAGACTAAAATTAGTACTTCTACTGGGAAGAGTTAGACAAGGCTCAGTTGTTTTACATTTTAATTCATGTCAGCCAGCCAATCAACAAACACCTGACTACTGGGAAACTTGGCCTAGTTCTAGTTTAGTTGCAGTTTATACTGCGTCTTGTTCATGGAGTAGGACTGGTAGAGAAGTGGTCATAGGGAACAGCTCAACCATTGCAGTGAAAAGTAATAATTAGAATTGTAGAATCACTTAGGTTGGAAAAGACCTTTAGGATCATCAATTCCAACCATAAACCAAACACTGCCAAGTCCACCACTAAGTGCCTCAGTGCCACATCTACTCACCTTTTAAATACCTACAGGGATAGTGACTCAACCACTTCCCTGGACAGCCAGTTCCAATGCTTGACAACCCTTTCCGTGAAGATATTCTTCCTGATATCCAATCTAAACCTCCACTGGGGCAACTTGAGGCTGCTTTCTCTTGTCCTATCACTTGTTACTTGGGAAGAGACCTACACCCCCCTTGCTTCAACCCCCTTTCAGGTAGTTGTAGAATGCAATAAAGTCTCCTCTCAGCCTCCTTTGCTCCAGGCTAAAGAGCCCTACTTCCCTCAGCTGGTCCTCATAAGACTTGTGCTCTAGGCTCTTCACCAGCTTAATTGCTCTTATTTGGACATGCTCCAGCACCTCAACATCTTTAGGAAACAAAGGACTCAAATCCATTGGAAAAACTTTAATACAGTTGCTCACTGAACAATTTATTAAATGTAGTCTTACATTTTGTTAGTGATGGCATTCACAAGTAAAATAAAAAGCTCCCTAGACATACTGATTTCCTGACATTGCCTGTCTCACAAATGCATTCCTATGCACACAAAGCATAACTGGGAACAAACCCATAAAATCTACCTTTCTTATACTTCAAGACAGCACTTCACGTAGGAAAAGAGGAAGAACATGAAAGAACAGGTTTTTTTTCTCACCCTCCAAATATGTACCAGCATCAGCTGAAAATACCTCCCGTTCTTTGCTGCTACATATATCCATGTGGTTTCTAGGTATGCTTTGGCAAAGAAAAACTTTGAGTAGTGTTTCCATTGCCTGCATTATCTAGCACTTCCTCCTCTGGCCTACTGAAATAAGGAATAAAGTAACCTCACCTCAAAAGGTGTCCAGAGTGTATTTGAGCCTGACTTTGATCCAAGCATACCTAATCCAAAAGCTGCTAGTAGGTCTCAATTTTTGACAAAATAATTTACTGCCATCTACCAGCATTTTCTCATGCCTGCCATTCAGAATTCATGCCCTACATCCATTTAACTGTCAATTCAGTAAAAAACCACCTGAATATATCTTGTTGGGTCTGAGACATCTCTTTGAAGAGGATTAAAATCCTGTATATTATATATTTATGTCCCTTAGGTATAATTCCTTAGTGCGTATGCTACACTGAGCTTTAACTGATATTTTGCTTTTAAACCTGATTTTTAAAATATTTTTACCTACGCAGAGCTACCTTACATTAAGAGCAAAAAAAAAAAAAGAGAAAGGGGATATTTACTGGAGAAGACTTCAGCAATCTGTGCTCTCTCACTTCTCTCTACCCTACTGTAATTAAGTCCCTACTAGTAAAAGAGACACACATAAGTTCTCACATAAGATAATTATCCTAGTAGTACTGAATAGGACAAATTGGAGATTATGGAAAATTGGGAGGAAAAAAAAAGCAAGAAAATGGTACAAAGTGCCTTGCTTTTTCAAGCAAGAATGGTAAGAAAGAAAAAGAGATTAACTTCTGACATATGATGGAACAAAAAAAGATCACTTGAGAAAAATCATCTTTAATTAAAAATGAGTACTTACTCTGCTTTTGACATCCTTTAGTTTGGGGAGTATTTCCAAACCAAATCCATCAGCTTGACCTCGGGTCCTATTCCCGCCATTCATATAATTTCCAAAAGCCAGAATCAAACCTAAAATTTCCTTTACACTTGTCATGTTCAGCAAAGCCTGGAAAATGAATACTAGTCTGTAACTTCCATTGGCACAAAAATTCTAATCACTAATATAAAATACTATGCCTCAAAACAGAAAAGAATCTAGTAACACAGTGGAGAACTAATACATTTTTTTAATTTACATATAAAGACATTTATCTTGTCAATCAAGAATCTGAGGCCATGGGCCTAAATCTTAACTATGTAGCTTTATACTACATATTGGATAAAGTAATTGCAGTGTGAGCTCCTCATAAATAAACTGAGGGACATACCACTTTCCCTATCTCACACAAAACCGTTTCTTTATTTATGTCTCCTTTGGAAAGGAAACACTTAGTAACTATTTTTATTGTTAGAACATGCAAAGAAATCCAAAGGGATAGAGCACGGTTACTTCGTGGCATTAAAGCTAACCAAAAGCTAATTTTCAAATTGGAAAAAAAATTTAAAATTAAATAACATCCCGGTCAGGATGTTATACCTTTAGGTCACTAATTTATCTTTTCATTCTTATTTCATTCTACTTTTCACGTTTTATTTTTTATAATTTCAAAATCTTGTCCTTAGTCATTCCTATTATAGAAATCTTAGGTAAAGCTTTGTCAGGTACTAAAAAATCTGCTGTAACAGGGTTAACAGAAATGTACAGATATCAGGGGAAAGTAGTAAGCTAATGAACATGATAGGCATCTATTGCTAATGGCATCAACAGTGCTTTTCAAAAAAAAGTAAGTTTGCAAGGCCCTGTAATAAGCTAGTCTGATATTTAATTTCTATTTCACAGAGATTATCTCTTACTCTGTTTAATGTGCAAAGTAACAAAAACGTGCTATCCAAATAAAAATAAATTTTTCTACATAGAGCATAGGGCATCACATACAACTCACTTCCCCTCTTTCCTGCTCCTTTTGTTGCTATAAGCAGCTAAAAAATGTAATATATTTTTATTCGCCTGAAAAGCTAATAGCCAGGTTTAAGATTCATCACTTACAGTAAAAAAAGAATGAATATTCTAAAATATATTTATGTTTTTATTCAGCTTTCATTAGAACTTACCTTGGAAACACGAGTTATGATATCAACTTTCCTGTGCACTGATGTTATCCCTTCAGAGAAAACTGACTGGAAGATAATACACTGAGCTCGTTCTGTGAAGTTGGGGATTTGTGATAACTCATATAAAAATCTATGGAAAAAAAGAGTATTAATGAATCTTTATATTCCTTATTTGTGGGGTACATAATGGACCAAATCTGTAGGATCATGAAATACACATGCAATCTTTCCTTCTTTGAATCAAATCTGACAGAATTTATAATTGTTATATTCTTTATGCTCAGTGTGATAAGAATTCCTATAAATCTCAAGAAAAAGGTGAGACATTAATCATTATCACATTAATCCACTAACTCACTATCACAGCTGCATAGTAATGAACATAAGAATCATAAACCTAGATCAGAGGTCAAAAAAAAAAAGAAAAAGAAAAGGAAGGAGCTAGAGAAACACTATCTATTTACTGTTTTCATTCATGTGGTTTTGCTTCCCTTAAAAATGTGCCCAGCAATACGGAACTCAATATATTCCTATAAGGCTTTTTCATAACATAAAATGTCTGTCAAGAAATTTCTTCTGATGCTCAGCCTCAATTTTCTTTTACTAATTTGCACCACACATCCAATTATATAGCAGCATGTTTTATGGTAATGCACCTAGCCATTTATTTAGCTCTTGCAGATTATATCTCTCTTCAGTCACTGTTCAGCAAATTTACTAACTTTTTATCCGTCCTCACATATACACTTTCCTCATGACTCTATTCCAGCTTTCTTCCTTTAACTCTTTGGTAAATAAAAATAATTAGAAGCATATTCAACAACTCCAGTTCGGATATCACAAAATGAAAGCATCCCAAAGGCATGAGTAATTCCTCCCTTTTCTATTCTTCATTTTAAAATGTAAGAATTTGGCTAAGTAATACAGGAAGCTTTAGCATTTCTTACAATAACAGGGTTTGCATAATTTGCTTTGTGGGGTTTGAGTCTAGGATTTCAGTGATACACATGCTTTCTTGAAATCCAGAAGCGAGCTGTCTTTTGCTCTAATACCATTTTAGAAACATTCTTCTAATCTGGCTACAGATATCCTTAGACTCCCCTTAATGTAATGCCAAAAGATTTTTTTACCTCACTGAATTATGGGAAATTCTGTGAACCATTATTAGCTTGAATTATTAAATTTATTTTAATTATTTGAGCCAATGCATCTGATTTCTCAAAATTATTTATTTTTCTTAAGAAAAAATATCAGTATTTTCAAATTTGCTTCATATATTTCTCATGCATACAATGCTTTGCTGAATACATAATGACTGCCTAAAAAATCAGCAAAATCCACCTGTGGCTGGTGTGAAATACTACGTTGTAATTGGAATATCATTTTTTTCCTTCTTTTTCCTCTCTTGCTTGATGAAAAAATCTATTGTGAGAGAAGGACTGGGGAGGCCCGGCTTGGCTCCTACACTTAAGCAGTGAGAAAAAAAGAAATGCCAAGCTGGTATTAATAAAAATGCTTCCTATTGGGAATGAATGGTATTGCCAGGAAAAAAATAGGATACTTCGCACTTTGTGTGAAAGAAGCAAAAGAAAGAAAAACTCAAACTGCTTCACTAAAGTTCTAACATACATACATTTTAAAAGTTTAAATTAAAAAACTCAAATGACATATATTCTTGTCTTTTCTTGAAAAGGGAATTATCTCCTACACTGCTGGTCACTGAAATACAATGTAATTGTGCTGAGAATAAAAGAAGCATCAGCATATAAAGAAAATATCTCCAGATTTTGGAAATTGAAGTATTCAATGTAACTATCCAGACAGAACACTTATAACTGAAATCTATCACAAAAAGGAATCTTAATGACTACAAATGTAGTCCCTAAACACAAAGTCATGGCATTGAATCTGTGGTTATCAAAGATAAACCACCAATTCAGGTGGACAAAACTTTTGGAGTGAAAAGAATAATCTTAGTTATTTTTTCAATTTTTGTCTAAGAAGAGTATAATTTTGACTTAAAGTAATGATGACATACTATCACATAGCTTTTTGATGGGCTTCTCTTTGCTATACTTCTCATGGCCTAAATTAAACATAAGAGGATTTGCTGTTCATCTCTGCGAGGTCCACTTTACTCCTCTCCTGCAGAAACTGTAAATAAAAAATCCATTTATTTGAGAACTCTTTTTTCCTATGAGAATCTTGTAGTAAAGGACTTGGGAGTACTTTCAAGCCAGGCATATCACCGTGTTGTTAGTGTAACAGAACATTCTTCCAGAATATAGACACAGAAGGCTAATTCTATGGAGGTAAACTATTTATCAGTTCACATTTATCCACATTTGAAGAATATAAAATTCCGAAATAATTTTTTGGGAAAAAGGCATATCTAACCCTGCAAGCTTCTAAGTAAACCAGCAGGATTTAAACTGAAGTCAAAGGAAAGTGGTCTTCAAAGAGAAGCAAATGGCATTGCTTGGACAGCAATTATCAACAGCTCACTACTTCCTGAATTCAAACTACATACAGAACAGCAAAGCTCAGTACCATATTTTGCTACTATTTCCTTCGTTAGTATTTCTTTCACAGTAGAGATGACTTCATAGAAATTATATTACAGCTAAAAGGATCTTAGAAACTAGCTAAAGCATCTGCATCCTACTAGCAAAGCCCCAAATTGTGGCCAATTGTGCATATAAATCTTTACCATGTTAATGAATATTAGCATTTTAACAACTATTATCATGAAGCGTAATTTAGGGGGGTATTGTCATGTTGCTGTCACACTTACAGCTAGTGCCAACAATAGCACATTTAACATGCCAACAAAACAAATCAAAATCACATGTGCAGGAGAGCACCAGTGATACCACTAAAGCTATTTGTCTGGTAATCCAAGCATTTAAAAACAGTTTAGAGGCTGACTTAGACAACAAAACCAGCAGCACCTGATCTACTGACTTTTCAGAAGGGACATTATTTTGAAAGTCCAATAAAATTTATATAAGTGCATCATCACCAAATTGTTTCCCCTTCGAGGCAACATTTTAAAAAACTAGTTTTCTTAACCTATGTAGTTTAATAATAGGGTAAAAATGAGATAATTAAGACTTTCAGAGAAAACAGAGCAATAATTGATAAAAAGTAGCTTTTGTCTTTGATACTACTATTTCACTATTTGATCAGGCGTAACTGCTTTATTTACAGCTCTTTTAATTATGGAACAATGATAGCATAAATTCAACTTTGTGTTTAATTGAGATCAACCTCTCCATTATAATTTACAAAAACAGACAACCTTTTATAACTCTAGAGCTCTACAAGATTCATGTTCTCCACAATACAAAATGCATTAATATTTATTTGACTCAGACGTACAGCAAACAGATTGCCAAAGATTCAAGCTCTGGAAAACATCAACTAGTCACACAATGTATTCTTATGCCCCAAGCCAATGCAATGAAAGCCGTGCATATGGGATGCAAGAAGCTAGTATATACATGTTACAGATATTTGTCTTAAGTCTTACTCAAGAACGATAGCCACTCTTAACCAAGAGTAAGTGTGATAGCCTCATCTCTCAACATTAACCTATTCCCTCGTGGACAGTCACAAATAAGTATTTAGCTGCCTTGTGCTAGCAGACAGAGAAAAAAATTCTGCTCTTCAACACTAACATTTTAATGGCAAAAAAAGGTATGAAAATTTAATATTTCTGACATCAACCAATCATATACTGTATCTGCTGTTTCAGTTCTTCCTCCCCCTACCCTTTGTTACACCAGAGACAGCAGAAAAGACAAAAACAGACAAGAGGGAAAAGGAAGCAAGATGGCAAAGAGGCCTCAGGACAGGAAATTGCACTGTCATTAGAAAAAAAAGATGGAAGTACAAAGGGAAAAGTAGCAAAGTAGCAGAAGACAAACCACTGGTAGGCCAAAATCTGAAATCAAATGTATACACTAAACTAAAATTCAGGACTACTATTCTGCTCACAGATTCTTGTGATTTGCACATTTGTCTAAGGTTTATTACAACAGAAGGAGCAACACTTAAGAAGTTTTTTGTCCTAACAGCTGTCACTGCCCACAACAGTCACAGATGAACCGTGGAACCAGCTCTGTAGGTTTTCAGTCAGCATGCCCAGAATGTACATTGTGTCTTTGTCACAGGACTCACCAAAACCCTCTGTTTATGTAGCCCTTTCAAATAATCAACAATGAAAATCAGTCTAGCCCTGCTTTATGACAGATTAATTTAGCCCTGAAGCTCTAAGGGAAGGATAAGCCTTTTACAGATGTAAGAATGGGAACAGAAATTTTTATTGATTCAAGGCTACATATTTTATCAGTTCTGGTGGTCCAAGTCGATGTAGCAAAATCTGTCATGTCTAAAAAAAGTTGTTTGATAACAACAAACTTTTCATCATGCCTTGAAACACAAAAAAAAAGTTAAAGGTTAGCTACCAAAAATTACGTATAAAGATCCCTTTTAACATATCAGCAAAGGACTATACTATATAATGATAAAATATTACCAAAATAATCTTACTGTTCTGGTTTATCCAGAAGCTTCAGTTCCTCCTCTTTTGAAGTCTGATAATATTGCTTGATTTTCTCCAGTTCATCCTTTTGTGCTCTCTGAGTGAATTAACATAAAGTAATTAATAACTAATTAATAACAAATTAATAAATTACTAATTTATCTGTTTGTCTGCAAGTAACAATTGTATTTTTTATTGGGAAACTTTAGACTATGCAAGAGAGTGAGACATAAAGATCCATGACTAATTCCTTCAGTGCCTTGCAGAGCCGTTTACTACCAATGGCCACAAAGCTGAGCACCCTTGCAGATACAGCCATAGGATGCTTCACAATTTAGATCAGCGAGGTAGCTCTGATATCTCTACAGCCAAGTGTAAATGTATTCTTTCATGCAACTCCAGAGTCACACAGTTCATGAATGCTATATACTTAGTGTACAGAGCAACTTTGTTAAGTACAGCAATGCACTAGCCTAGCTAACTGTTTTAGCCACTTACATCTTGAATAAGAAAATTTCAGCATGTTAGCATGAAATTGGCTTTAAGTAAGGACAGTATTTTTCTGGCAGCTCAGGAAAGAACACTGCTAGATGTTACACCTTTGTTGCATTTTTAACCTGATTCCAAAGGCACTTCACTGTTTTAAATTTCTGACATTTAAGGGCTAAGCCAGTAAGTAAAAATAGCATGTCAATGGGTATTTTTTTATGTTACCTATTTTATTACTGCTAAATTCCCTAAAGACTTTTTCTGTATAATGTCTGTAGTCTAAAATGTCAAGATAAAAGAAAACTTTACTTATTTTGTGTTTGAAATACTACAGTGAGTAACCACAGCTTTACTCCAGCTTACTTACATTTTCATACAGTGCTTCCAGTGTTTCCAGATCTACTACGGAGTCATCAATACAGAGTATAGCTGTATAGAATACAATCACAAATTAGATGCTAGAAAACACATGTAAGAGTTCAATTCTGTTTCCTGAGAAATGGACTAAAGGGATCTGACCTAGCTAAAGAATTTATTTGTATCCAGTTAATACTTTATTATTTTCAGCATTTTATTTTTGTTCTGACTTCAAGTCAGAACACTCACACAAGAACTCACTATAAACTCTCTCTCAGGAGAATGGAGTTCTATTTTCCTCTCCAGTATACTCAGCAGTCAGACATGACCTGCCAGGTACTCAGCTGATTGCGTATCTGGCCAGGCAGGAGAACATGAGAACAACTGATACCAGACAATGAACAGCACATTTCATGGTAGCTTAGAAGGCTGGATAGGAGAGTTAGGGTATTTAGGTCTCCTTATGTGCATGGGAGATCAGGAAGATATGACAACAGGGAGATCTGCTTGTCTTGGGAAGTAGACAGGTAAACAAACTTGCAAGATTTGCAAGTTGCAAATTTGCAAGCACAAAAAACTGTGCTACAGATTTTTGAGATATCCTCATAAAGCAGCTCACATTTGAGTTAGCTTTATCCACTAGAAAACTACTCATGTGACAATTTCCAGATAAATACTTCTAAACATCACACAGAGACACCTAAAGTATACTCTTCAGTGATCAGTTATGCCTCATTACCAAAAATGAAAAGTCTCAAAATATTTCCTTAGTTCCAAATGATACTATGTTTGGGATATATGGCATTAGGTGTTTCTAACATTTGCAAAACCCATTATAATTTAGGCAATGTACTGGGACTTTTCTGAAAACTAAATGATTGGTTCACAGCACTTTCTAATGCACTCTAATGCTACATTCCAGTAAGCTAAGACAAGCACAATTGAACAGAAATAACTTTGAATGTTTAATTTTTCTGAAAACAGCATTTCATCAAGATTCATAATGGGACCAGGCACAATTTCTGAACTCCTGACTTATGTTTAAATGTTACTGGGAACATTAATCCCAAAGAGTCAAGATTATGGCCTCTACCAATTTTCAGCATAACCAGTGACTCATAATTAGCTAGTACCTGACAACTTTTAATTTCAACTGTAATACGTTTCTTCAAAGGAAACTTGACTGCTTGTGAATTTAGAAGATTTTAAAAGCTCTTGCTGCATTTTCAATCCATGTTTGAAAGGGACAAGGCACACATCTTTAAATAATTATTTAAAAGTAATAAGCTTTCGCCTGCTCTTCCACCTACCCCATGATTTTACATTGTGAAATTAACCAGCAGGCTAGTAAATTTTCTCTGTGGCAGGCTAATTAATTTTATTAAAAGGTCCAATGACATTTAGAATGCTTTAAAATTTTGCCTGTCAATTATGATTCCATCTGTTGACATTACACCTTGGTTAGAAGTAAAGAATTATACAAAAGAAGACAGTATAAGTGGAAAAAAAAAAATAAAGCAGTATCTCCAACTATTTTCATCCTACTGGAAAGAGTCAAAAAATGCTTGAGTGTAACCAAATATAAAGCACGAACAACCGTGCTTGACAAAAATCTTTGTTTAAGAAAAATCATTAGGGATTGAAACTATGAGATCATCTGTTGGCTGTTGCAAGTCAGTTCCATGAGTTTCATTATCTTCCAATGAAATTTCAAAAGAACCTAAGAGATTGGAAAATCTATTGGAAACTTGGTTTCACAGTCCAATATATGTAATTGTTAAAATTTTAAGATACACATATTGAATTCAAAAACTTCCCTTTGTGGTTTCACTTTCATCCTATTTTGAAATATTCTGAAATCTGCTTAGAAGGAAAAATTTGTCTACACTTATTTAAAAAAGCAACTTACTGGAGATAATTTTAACTCATACTAGAAACGCAAAACATCTATTAATAGATTTTTTTTTTTAGGTACAGAACTATTACAATGAGAGGAAGTGGTTTGAAAAAAAAGAACACTTTAATAAGAATATCAAGGTTTGTACATCTAACTGGAATTTTCAGTCAGAGATTTGTCACAAAAAGACCCCAAAATCACAAAGTGGTTTTTAATGCTGCATTTTCTTATCACTGTTTCTGTATTCAACACCAGTTCTAACAAATCAGCATTGTTTTGAAGTGGTATAATAAAGCAAAGAGTGTTTGAGATTAAACTAATAAAATACAATCTGATAAATTAACACCTTTCTAACATAATTAATAATAATATGTATTAAGTGATATTAATATGAATTATTTTCTCTTTTTTGACAAGTATGTGATTGTATAAAAGTACCAAGAAAATATTATCTGATTTACTTGCTATACAACCTGTCATGCTATAATTGGCAATGTCCATGCAGACAGGCTGCAGTTAAAAATCTAGCAATATTATTCAAAACAATGACAGTTGAACTCTTAGGATGTTAATGTATGTAGAGAAACACTCCCAAAAAGTCAGAAGTACTGCCAAAATCCACATAGACTCCTTTTTTTCATCTTTATGTATTTTAAACTTCATCTTTGTCCTTATATCTTTTTTTTCATTCAGACTGATTGAACTTAATACCATACACATTTGGAGCAGAAGAGAAAAATGAAAACTTGTAAAATTATGAAGAGGGACCCATTTTTTAAAAAAAGAAGCATTGATTTTGAAAAGCTGGAAGAAATCCCTAAATTCACAGGTGTGTCAGTATTCTTATTCTTAAAATATGGCATGTGCAATACATTCACAGTATGTTGTGTAAATTAACTTGAATTGCAGCAGCTGAAAAAACCCCATTACACTAGATCAAAGAAACTAATTATTTTACTATTTACTTAGAGTTACAAAGAACAAAAGCATCTTAATTTTTCTGTGAAAAACAAAACCCGGTTTTAATCATATGTATATTAACGTTCTTAAAATTAGTAAAAACCATGATAAGTTTTTCAAAATACTCTTCCTGATACAGTGAATTTAACCATGACACTTTACTGCATTAAATCTCATTATATCAAGACTCACATAAGTGTAAGTAATATAGGTGAAGTATCATAAATCTACAAAAGAGGCTCCAAAACAATTAATAGCTATTACAATATCAATCATCATCGGTGGTTTTTACTTTTATCTTGCTTTCTAGTTAGCTGTCTTCCTTACACTGTCAGTTCAGTTAGAATATTTCACCTACACCTCACAATATGTCGAAAGGAAGTAGACTCATGCTGTGAAAAGCTGGTAATTTTATTGGGTTCCTCTACCTTTAAAAAATCTGTTACTTGGCCAAGTCTGGTTTCTGAGATCCTTTTTTGCAGGGAAATTGAGGCAAACATTTTTATGTGGCCTATGGTGTCTGCTCACAACAAGAAGAATTTATATACACAAGGATCATTAGTGCAGGGTTGCACCCATTAGGATATAATAACCGTCAGCTAGGACAAAAAACAGATCAGCATCGTGCATTCAAACTAACAGGCACACATAAAAATACTTGCCAACTACATTTCACATACTAAGAGTATTGCTTCGAATATAAACTTGTACCAAAGGTTCTTAACAGACTCACTTTCTTAAAATGAATCTAACTGTAAAAAACAGATCCCCTACTGCACAGATTTTTCACATACTCTGGTTTACATTTTTGAAGTGATAAAACAAAGAAAAGCTAAGAATTTAAAGCATACTGTGTGCAGTCTACATACAACTGTAGAATTTAGAGGTTAAATATGAAAAAGATACTTCTCTTAACCAGCTTAAATACCAACAGTCTTAAGGCTGACTCTGAAATACAGCCTCACTCCTACTAAACACATTTTGGTTAAATGAGGATTTAAGTCCTGATGACAGAGCTTACATGTACTCAGCGGTATCAAACCATTTAATGTGACAATTAAACTATGAAATATGAAGAAATCACCTTAACTGCTTCCTAATGATAAAACAGAAATAAGTTATTTAAATAAAAAGAGCTTGCCAAATATACATTTATTTGACCTGGAAGTTCTTCATTATTTTATGTAGTACATTCTACTGAGTAAGGCTTGATTTTATGGGAACATGAAGCTCGTCACTGGGAAATTTAAATTAAATTGTGTCTGATCTAGTCAATTAGATAATGACAACAACTGTTAAGTACAAATCCCTACTTGGCAAAACTGCCTAAAGTATCCAAATTGCTCTGGTTTACTTCTCACAAATTGCTATGTTCTAAACTTATTTAAAGGTTTTCTCTCGTGCAACAGAAAACCCATTAAAATATACATCACAAAGAATCACCATGGGCACAATGTAGGTTTACAAGACTAAGAAAGCTCAACTCCTGCAAGAAGTAATGAGCATAAGACTGGCACTAACGTTAACCTACCCACATCAGGCTGGATGCCCAAGGCAGATTCACAAAAACATATGCTGTGAATTTTCCAGAACAAAGAAAATAACTTTTAAAGAAAATTGTTTCCCAACGTCTGACTTGAGTATGCAGCTATCTTTATACTTCATGCACAGTATACAGTATATATAGAATGCATACATGTAATATTCTTTGTAGGTGGAAAAATCAGACAACTTTGGAACAACAGTTTTTAAACTTCTATAATCTATACTTCCATCCTGCAAAATATTTTAGTTGAAACCCCAGTAAAACTTTTTTCACACAGTGCAATAAGATGTATCCCAAAGCACTTATCTTTATCCAGAAGTATTTCCAAAATACAATAGAGAAAGAAACTGTGACACTATTTGTGCTGCATGATATAGTTAAAGCAGAAATTGGAATTCATTATTCTGAGCACACTGAAGTCTGCAGATTAGAGTTGCTTTGGAATAGTTTGCGTTATACATATAAAACATTGTCTTTCAGATGCTAAGAAAAGTGCCTGATTAAGAATGGTACCGTTCGCTAAAGTTCAGATGTACCATAAACCATAAATTGCATCAAGACAACACAACCTCTTTATGTAACTTCTCTGGCCTCTCATTAGAGGAAGACCACATAGAAATCCCACGATGATTATGAACGTAATATAGAATTAGAATGATTATTGCATTA